AGATAATATTTCTAACTGAAATGATGAAAATCCATAAGCAAAGAGATATCCAGAACTCTAGTGAATCTTAAATCTAACATTTAGCTTGAGAAAGCATACCCACTATTTAAGCCTCAGAATCAAAGAACCATGAAACAATGCAGAAAACTTTGGTACCAAAGAGAAACAACCAGCAGGCTGTATCTTTCTGAAACACAGTACAGATGATGTTTCTAACTGAAATGATGAAAATCCATGAGCAAAGAGATAACCAGAACTCTAGTTAATCTTAAATTTCATATTCATTTGACTGCAGAACTAGTTAGAGTTATTGCTTACTATACTATGAAGGCAGCAACTCACAGCATGATCACAACCAGAAGTTATAAGCATTGAAGAGAGTACTTATCTCCTTGTATCTATCAAATAAAAGCACAATGAATCTAACAAATAAGACAAACCTGGATTCTGTAAGTCCTAGGACGCAACTCTTTGCTCATATGGACCAGCTTCTGTTCTTCCCTCGTCAACCTCATTGTGATCTGGTAAGGATGCAGGATACCTGGCGTGTCAAAGAGTTTAGCCTGTCCACTGAGAACTCCCTCCACTCTAACAATCCCCAAAGTAGTACCGGGCACCGGAGCCTCTGTCAAGTGGCTCACCTTGTCCCCGACGCATCTCCCCATGGCGTTGATCAATGTAGACTTACCGGCATTTTGTGCCCCCACTGCCCACACATTGCCCCGCACTCCTGCGAGCTCCCTCACATGGTCAACGATATCGCGCACCCTCCAATTCCTCACAGCGCTCACCAGGTGCACCCCCGTCAACTTGTTGACTCCCCACACGCTGGCCCTCTTCCGGACCCAGTCCTCGAACGCGTCGGGTGATATCGAGGAAGGGAGAAGGTCGATCTTGGTGACTACAAGTACTACCCGTGGCACGTTCCCGGGCTTCCCCTCCTTCCAGGCCCTGGAGAACTTGTCAATGGAGGAGGAGACCAGCCGAGCGACCTTGCGGGGGAGGGAGCCGTCGAAATCGGCGGCATCGACGACCATGAGGACGACGGTGCGGGGGCCGGACGGAGAGACCATCTTGGGTCCGACCATGCGGTCGAAGTCGAAGTCCGGGAGGAGGTTCTCAGCGGAGGGGTTCTTGACGCGGCCGTAGTGGCGGAGGGAGTGGCATCGGGCGCAGACAAGAGGCCTGCCAGACCGCTCAGAAGGGACAGTGGGCTCGGGATCCTCCGCCGGAAGGAGGTGACCCGATTTGAGGAAGAGCGAGAGGCAGGTGTCGTCGGCGGCGAGGGGGCGGGAGCGATCTATGGGGGCGCGATAGTCGGGCGACTTGGGTGAGGGGAGGGAAAAGAAGCCGGGGAGGGTTTGGTCGGAGGACTGCATGTGGACGCCGCAGCCGTGGCAAAGCGGGAGGAGGTGAGGAGGGGGGCAGTCGACATCGACGTCGCCTTCGGCGTAGCATCCGCCGCGGAGAGCGGAAAGGGGAGGAAGCGAAGGCGGGAATGGGGCATGGGAGGAGGAGAAGGGGCGGAGGAAGGGGGAGAAGAGAGGATGAAGGGGCAGAGGAGGGTTTCGTCGGTGGAACGGGGAGGAAGCCGAAAGCAGCGGCGGAGGGATCGAATCGGAGGAGGTTGGAGAAGCAGACAGGAAGAGGAAGGAAAGCGTTGATGATGACGACGATGAAGATAACCTCCTTGGCTGTGGGGAGAGCTTCCGAGCGAGGGAGAGCATGGCAACGGATTGATTCTGCCCTAGAAGGCGACGGATACGTGGCTTGGACGAGGAAGCCAGCAAAAGAGAACGTGTAAGGGTCGGTGTGCGGCCCAGCGGTAGCCCAAAAGGCTAAAAGCAGGCGAGGCTCCATCGGGCCGACTCATATTATTAGGATCCGGAGGATGGGCCACACAGTTAAAAGTCCGAAGTCAGCGGCAGCGGCTCTCTGAATTGCATCGCCTGAGGTGGGGGTTGGTGGGGTTTCAAAGTTTCTTCCAGTCTTTCTTAATCCCACAACATCTGCAGTGGAATCTACTATCAGAGAAAGAATATTCACTCCAGATTGCTACGATCTTTGTAGGCCCGAAACCTGAGCCCAATAGTAAGTATGTCAGGCTGGGTTAGACTTTATTTAGGCAACACCAAACCAAGGGTTCGTCCTATCCCAGTGTGCAATCCCTGCGTACTGACCGAATCATTTGCTTCCGAAAGAAATGGTATGCGGTAGAGACAGATCCGCGGCTCGTCAGATCAAAGCCAGCCGGCCGGCCGGCCGGCCGATCGGGTCGGTTCATGTTACACATACCCACCCACGCAGAGCTCCAGTGCCAGAATGCCTTGGTTGCAGCTGTGAGAGAGATATATATGGCCTTCGGCATTGCCAAGCCCGCAGCAGGCAGGCACAAGGACGAAGCAGGCCTTTGGACCGGACCGGACCGACCATCATCTCCCTCGGCTAGTAGACAGCTGCCGATGACGACGATACTTGGGGTTTAGGGCCATCGATCGATTGGATTCGGGCATGGCCCGCACTTGTCATCTTTGAGTAGTACGGCTTCGTCTGCTGTCGCTTCACTATTAGTTATCAACTCTGATGTCAGATAATGGGCATCCACAGAGGTTAGAGAGGCAGATCCCGGATTCATGCTCATCGGTTCTGCAGCAGCGAAGGAGACTGATACATAGTAGTAATTGAGCAATTGACGATGGAATATGACGTCAGGTGCCCCTAGTAAAGTAAGTTGATCTGCCACGCTGGAAGTAAGATTGATAATAAACTTTTTAAGGAAATAATCCAAAGATTGTTGGTAGGTTGATCTGCCACTTAAATCTACCAGATCTTTTTCGTTAATCGACAAGTACGTTCGTTCATGGGTTCTTCATCACCGCCCACCCACCCACCCCTTGGAAACATTCGAGGGTGAGCTCGGAATAGAATAAAGTTGAGCAACACAAGGGTGGGGTGGTGCAATCTCTCGGGACTTGATCTGCCCCCAAAAACAAAAGGGAATCGGATGCTTGTGTTGGAGTTGAGTGGCTCGAGAAGGCCTAGTCTCCCGGGTCATTCCACGTATAGATAGAGAGGGTGGCAAGTCAAAGGCGAATGCTAGGAAGCTACAAAGGTAATTCGCCCTAATCGCCCTTGTCTCGTCGGTTGGTACATGCGACCAATGGGTTCCGAAAGCAGAAAAAAGTCATGGTGTTTTTTAGGCGAAACTGCATCCATATGACTGCCCTCTCACGGAATTGCCGACTCTCTTACTTAAGCTCCTACTATGTTTTATTTGGCATAAGACCATAAAAGATTTAGCAGTTAAATTCTACAGTAAAACGTCACCATGGAAAAGGAAGGGCTCGTCCTCACTCGATTGATTCATCAAAAATTACTTGACCCCTCCTTTTTCTTCTCTCTCTCTCTCTCTCTCCCTCACCTTTTTCTTTTTCCTTCTCTCTCCAGGCCCTTTAGGTTCTATCTATCTTGTCGTGTTTCCTCCGTCCCCCTAATAATACACTACGCTGACGACTCCGCCCTCTTTCGCCCCTCTATCAATCCTCCCCCCAAAGAAACCGAAACGAAAATAAGACAGTAGAGATAAAAATATATATAAACATAAATAGAAAACCACTCCCCTGCTTCTGCCCCCCCGCACGAAGGAAGAGAGTAGCACTAGATGATGGTAGCGAAGAAGCCTCGCGTCGTGATCGTTGGGGCGGGCATGGCGGGGATCACCGCTGCCCACCGACTCCACACCGCCTCCTCCGGTGACCACTTCGACCTCTGCATCGTGGAGGCAAGCCACCGAACCGGCGGCCGCATCCTCACATCCGAGTTCGCCGGAGACCGCATCGAAATGGGCGCCACCTGGATCCACGGCATCCGAGGTAGCCCCATCCATGCCCTCGCCAGCGACATCGGCGCCCTCGCCCATGACTCATGCCCCTGGGAGCGGATGGACGGCTTTCCCTCGGATCCCATCACCGTCGCCGAGGGCGGCACCCTCATCGACCCCTCCCTCGTCGTCGCCCCCATTACCTCCCTCTACCGCCGACTCATGGACTCGGCCCGGGCTGGCGACGCTCCCGTGGATCCAAAGCGCCCCGGCGTCGGCCAGTTCCTCCGCCACGGTCTCCAAGAGTATCGCGCCTCGCGCACTGGCGGCGGCGGTGATGGCGGCAGTCGCAGCACCGACTGGAATCTTGAGGAACTGGAGGAGGCCGTGTTCACGATGCACGAGTTCACGGAGCGGACCTGTACCTCCGCGGACGACCTCGAGGAGCTTAACCTCGCCGCAGAGGGGGAGTACCGGGACTACCCCGGGGACCATATCACCATCGCTCAAGGCTACTCGCGGATCGTTCAGTACCTGGCCTCGGCCCTCCCCCGGGGCATGATCCGCTTCGGTCGACTCCTTCAGCGCATCGAGTGGCGCTCGGGCAGCGACGACGACGGCGGCGGCGACGACGGATGCAGGGACGGCGACCCGGTAAGGCTATACTTCGAGGGAGAGCACTCGGCGATGGTGGCAGACCACGTGATCGTTACGGTGTCGCTGGGGGTGCTCAAGGCTGGGCTGGGAAAACGAGGAGAAGAAGGCAGCGGGGTAGCGTTCTCGCCGGCCCTGCCCGTGTTTAAGCGGGAAGCCATCGAACGGCTGGGGTTCGGAGTGGTGAACAAGCTGTTCATGGAGATGGACGCCGCCGAAGGTGGGGGGCCGTTCCCATTCCTGCAGATGGCGTTCGCCCAGGAGGAGGAGGAGGAGGAGGACAGGAGGAGGCGCGTGGCCGAGATTCCGCGATGGATAAGAAAGACGGCATCCATCTGCCCCATCTACGACAGCTCGCGCGTGCTGCAGGCGTGGTTCGCCGGGAAGGAGGCGCTGGAGCTGGAGGCGCTCCCCGACGAGGAGGTCATCCGTAGTATCCACCTCACTCTCCACGCCTTTCTGCCGGGGGTGGCCACGAGGGCCGCCGGCTCGGTGGACCGACGATGCAACGGCGTAGGAGCGGCGCCGACTTACCCGGGGAGGATCTCGAGGGTGAAGCGGAGCGGGTGGGGAAAGGACCCGCTGTTCTTGGGCTCCTACAGCTACGTGGCTGTCGGATCGAGCGGGGACGATCTGGATCTGATGGCGGAGCCGCTGCCCCGTCGTGGTCGGGGCGGGGAGCCGGATGACAGGGACGTGGTTTCTCCCCCTCCCGCGCTGCAGATACTGTTCGCTGGGGAGGCGACGCATAGGACGCACTACTCTACCACGCATGGAGCGTATCTAAGTGGGATCAGGGAGGCCAACCGCCTGCTCCAACACTATCGCTACACGTCGGCTGCTTTGTGACCATCATCGTTCCAAGGCGGCTTTGTGCGACGGAGGCGAGGAGGGGAACGCGTACTTGTTACGCGTACCATAACGAGCCATCTTTTTTTGCATCTCTACACTAGTATCGGTCGTTCTTTCTCTTGGAACGAAGGCATCCAAAAGTGTCTTTGACCTTATGAATCCGTTCCGCTACTGGAGAGAGTTCTGCATCATCTCCTGGCTGAATTATATTTAGTACTTCAAAGCTTCGGTGTCAGCACTTGTAAATTTGCTTCTGCAAGAAATGACTCGTCTCCATTACTCGAGGTTGCCAGTGCCACCACGTGAGGTGGGGGATTCTGCATGGCCCTCATCTTAGCCGGAACCACAACCAAGCTGTCTCCGACGCTCAGATTGATCCTTTAGCTCTTTTAGATGAACAGGGCCGCAAAAGCTACTGTCCCCTAACATGCCACAACACTTGAAACTTGTGTTTTTTACCTAAATTTTAATTCCTGATAAGTCAGATTCTTTATTGTTTGGAATAAACATTCAGAACCAACAATAATGTCTCTTCTCAGATGATCTTCCTTTTAAGTCAACGATGAGCGATCCCAATCACGATCTCTATGATAATTAAGTCAAGTCAGTACTTTTTAAATTTGAAGTGATCATATTAGCATTTTTCATAGACAAACTCTTTGACAATTATTCCCTAGCCGATCGACCGAAGATGGGGAACAACTAGTAACCTAAGCGATGGAGTGACGCCTTGTTTGACACATCGATGCCTATATCATCTGAATGTTTTGATTGGCTGGCTCGGATCTTTAGTTTGATCGAACATGTGGCAACCGATCCATCGCTCGCGCCCCTATGAGATCAATCGCTCATGTGGCAGTTGTACCACCTGATTGCAGGCCCAAACCTTTGTGGTGGTATGGTGACATCTGATATGGATGTTCGTATTGGCTAATCATGATGCCACGTATCGACACGTGACACTTACTTGTGACATCATTCTTATCTATCATTAGCCTTCATAAATATATTGAGCCAAAAGCGCACTCGATAGTGCATGTGACGTATCTTCGTTCTCGTAAGAAGGATGTTGTCGAAAGATTTTCTCGACCCCAATATATTATACTGTTGAATCACGGATCGTGGGCCACATGTCATTGAAATACGCAATCAATCTATGAGTTATGCATCATTGAAATACACATTCGACCGATGGACTATGTTATCAAAATATGCATTTAGCCTTATAAGTCGTCGTTGAAATGCATGTTTGGACCATGAGCCACGTAATGTTGTATTATGTCAATTCTATCATTTGGCTATTTGACCTGGGTCAACTCATTTTACTATTTGGTCATGGTTGACATGTGCTATCGTTCACTATAGTCAGCATGCTCGACGCATCGACTATTCGATAGTTCGGATGGGGGCTACGATGTGATGGTCTATATGCGCCATCCATTCCTTGATCACCAACGGGAGCATCATTTTGGGCATCCGTTGAATTT